CGCTTAGGTTTCGGTTTCCCAGAATCAGCCCGAAGCAAGTTTAAAATGGCTGAGGTACTTTACCAAGATGGCTGGCGGCCCGGGCATAGCCCAACACCCTAGATTCCCTGGTCTGCACCACGTGAGGTTCTGAGGTCTCTGCTTCACTTTTCAACCTCATTACATGACTGAGCTTCTGATCTTCACCTGCACAGGGCACAGATGGCAAGAACCGAGCAGGGCTCTAGGCCAATGGAGCTGAGTGTGTAGGGACAGATCTAGTGAGAATTTACACAACAGAAGACAGAGGGTGACATTAGGGGAGTGTCTGTAGGACACTTGGGGCAAGCAGAGGGTAGGCAGGGTCAGGGCTCTTACCAGCTGGTTCTTATCCAAATGGATTCTCCCAAGTTCCCTGGTGGTCTACTGGATAGGTTGTGGAGCTCTCTCAAATGGATTCTCCCCATGAGAGCTGAGAGACAAGACTTAGAACACAGTTCCCAAGGGTACCTTGAGAGACATGACCCAAAATTCAGTTCAGCAGGGCTGTGATGGGTGTTTATCTCTGTGCTTGTCCCCCTGAGTCCTCCACATGCAAGAATAAGAGCTGTGTCTGTCCCTCAGGCAGCTGATTTTCTGTCCCGGACACTGGGGGTTGGACAGAGAGTGGGACAAAACCTAAACATCAGTGTCCACAGTGTGGATGAGGATCCAGAAGTGAAACTACCCAAGGCAGAGCAGGGACCCATGGGCAGAGGCCCTGGATGATGATGATAGCCAGGTGGGGACACGTGTGCATCACTGAGGGAAAAGACCCATGTAGGGACAGTGGGCACCTGGACTGAGTTAACTTTTAGGAAAAAAGTTCTTGATTAGTGGAAGATAAGGATCTTTACAATGATATGTGTGTCAAGAAAGAGAACAGGTTGTGATAAAACCTGAGAAATGAAAGGTCCCAGTGAGTGGAAACATCTACAAATGAGGAAAGTTACTTCACTCTGTGTTGCCTGCAGTGAGAATGCAAGAAATTAGAATCCCAAAGAACAAAGCAGAAAATGACCCTGGGGGACATCTGAGAGTCAGCAGAGCAGAGGAAACCTCAGATCCCAAGAGGAACCCCCATCCCCTCTCTGCACCTGCTCCATGGGGCACAGGAGCTGGATGGGCCTTGAGCGCCCCCTGCAGCCCAGTCCCCTCCCGTGTCCTGCAGGGAGGTTTGTGTCTGGGCTCACGCTGACTTCCTGTCACTGTGTCTCTCGCACAGTAATACACGCCTGTGTCCTCGGCGGTCACAGAGCTCAGCTGCAGGGAGAACTGGTTCTTGGACGTGTCTCTGGTGATGGAGGTGCGGCTCTTGAGGGACGGGTTATAAGTTGTACCACCACTACTACTGATGCGTCCCATCCACTCCAGCGCCTTCCCTGGGGGCTGGCAGATCCAGCTCCAATAAGCACTTGTGACAGAGCCTCCAGAGATGGTGCAGGTGAGGGACAGGGTCTGCGAGGGCTTCACCAGTCCTGGGCCCGACTCCTGCAGTGTCAGCTCAGACAGGACACCTGGAGACAAGGAGAGTCATGGTGAGTCTGTTCATTCCATCCCACACCCAGGTCCCCGTAAGCACCTGCAGCCCCCCAAGACCCTCACTCAGGGGAGCTGCCATCAGGCATAGAAGGAACCACAGGATCTGCATGGTGCCTGCAGGATGAAAACACCACACTGGCCCAGCTTGTGGTGGGTTTTTGATCTGCCAGCACCCAGGGTCATTTGCATGTGTGTCCTGGGGTATGAGAGTCCTAGGCTGGGTGCCTGCCACCAGTTCCTGGTGACGGTTCTGGGTGGTGTGTGGAGCTGCTGAGCCTGTCCTCATGATTGAGAGTCAGCCTTGGCATAATGTCCTCAGCTCTTGTGGCTCTGGATGGGTTAGGGCTGCAGTGCTCAAGCATGCAAGGAAACGGTCAGGCTCTCCCTTGTTCCACCATCAGGCTGTCAATCAGGGGACTCTGGTATCACCCATGGGAGACTGTCTTTGGATGTGGAGTGGAGGGACATGCACAGAGTCAGGGCCTCTGCTGCCTCTGACTCAGGTCCTGCTGTACCTCTAAGCAGATGTGCGGTCCTGGAGGAGGCTCTATGGATCCACTGCCCAGTTCTGCATCTTTGAAAGTGGGAAATATGAGCAGTCATGTCCCAGCACTGATATAAGAGAGGGACCTCGTCCCTGGCAGCGTCCTCTCTGGATCAAGGCTAGGTCACAGTCATACCTGACAAGAGGCTGCATCCTAGTTTAGGCTGGGGACAATCATTGAAAACAGGAGAGAGGGATTCGGTGTCATTGTGTATGGGACAGAGTCATGGAATTTTTCATGGTTGGAGAAGAGGCCCCCGTGGGAGGAAAGGCTAGAAGATGTGCGTGACCTGCACAGTGGCCTCCACTCTGCTTATCTTTAGACAGTGGCCGGCAGGCAGGACATCACCTGGCAGGAGATGGTAAAATAGGTTTCTTTTTCTTTTTTTTTAAAGATCTTTTTCAGCTTCATGAAATTCATTTTATTTTATTTGTTTTTTATTTAAATTTTATTATTATTATATTCAGTATTAAAAATCATATTTTTTTCTTTATGCCCTTTTCCCTTCATGTCACTCCCCGACCTCCTCCCTTCCTCCCAAATCTCTAGTACCTTAGGTTTGTCCTCTCCTTCTGAACGTTCAACTTATTTTTTGGCCTTTCCCTTCTTTTCCTCTCTCTCTCTCTCTCTCTCTCTCTCTCTCTCTTGCCAGCACCCAGGGTCATTTGCATGTGTGTCCTGGGGTATGAGAGGCCTAGGCTGGGTGCCTGCCACCAGTTCCTGGTGACCCGGTGCTGGGTGGTGTGTGGAGCTGCTGAGCCTGTCCTCATGATTGAGAGTCAGCCTTGGCATATTGTCCTCAGCTCTTGTGGCTCTGGATGGGTTTTGGCTGCAGTGCTCGAGCATGCAAGGAAACGGTCAGGCTCTCCCTTGTTCCACCGTAAGGCTGTCAATCAGGGGACTCTGGTATCATCCATGCGAGACTGTCTTTGGATGTGGAGTGGAGGGACGTGCACAGAGTCAGGGCCTCTGCTGCCTCTGACTCAGGTCCTGCTGTACCTCTAAGCAGATGTGGGGTCCTGGAGGAGGCTGTATGGATCCACTGCCCAGTTCTCCATCTGTAGATGTGGCAAATGTGAAGAGACATATCCCAGCACTGATATAAGAGAGGGACCTCGTCCTTGGCAGCGTCCTCTCTGGGTCAAGCCTAGGTCACAGTCATACCTGACAAGAGGCTGCACCCTAGTTTAGGCTGGGGACAATCATTGAAAAAAGGAGAGAGGGATTCGGTATCATTGTGTATGGGACAGAGTCGTGGTATTTTTCATGGTTGGAGAAGAGGCCCCCATGGGAGTAAAGGCTAGAAGATGTGCGTGACCTGCACAGTGGCCTCCACTCTGCTTATCTTTAGACAGTGGCCGGCAGGCAGGACATCACCTGGCAGGAGATGGTAAAATAGGTTTCTTTTTCTTTTTCTTTTTTTTAAAGATCTTTTTCAGCTTCATGAACTTCATTTTATTTTGATTTTTTAAATTTAAATTCTATTATTATTATATTCAGTATTAAAAATCATATTTTTTTCTTTATGCCCTTTTCCCTTCATGTCACTACCCGACCTCCTCCCTTCCTCCCAAATCTCTAGTACCTTAGGTTTGTCCCCTCCTTCTGAACGTTCAACTTATTTTTTGGCCTTTCCCTTCTTTTCCTCTCTCTCTCTCTCTCTCTCTCTCTCTCTCTCTCTCAGCACCCAGTTACGAGTGCCAACATGTGATATTTGTCTTTCCTTGTCTTGCTCATTTCAATTAAAACAATTTTCTCCAGACTCATTCATGTTGCTGGAAATGGCAGAATTTCATTCTTTTGTTAAAAAGACCAAGAGCCACAAATGCTGCAGAGTCTGCAGTGATAAGGGACTGTCCTGCACTGCTGGTGGGACAGTGAATTGGTGCAGCCAGTACGGGAAACAGTGTGGAGTTTCCTCAGACAACTACAGGTCGATCTTCCACACAATCCAGCAATCCCACTGCTGGGTATTTGCACAAAGGGTGGACATCATCATGTGGAGGTGACACCTGCACTCCCGTGTTCATCACAGCTTTATTCACAACAGCCGAGATGTGGACCGAACCTAAATGTCCATGGACTGATAGCTGGACAAGGAGAACGTGGCACATGCACCATGCAATACGACTCAGCCATAAAGGAGATTTCGAGTCACACTGACCAACATCAGATTTACATAGTATGGCAGTGACAGACATGCACGTTTTCCAATAACTAGACATGTCCATTCGAGATCGTGTGTGGCATGTCACTGCTGACTAAGGTGGTTCTGGGCAGGCACAGTAGTCACTGCGGCTGGACCCCTGCCCATTGTCCACGGGCGCAGGGGCCGCTGTGTCACAGGGGACGCTGGGCCCCCGGGAAGGTGGCATGATTGCAGGTTTCATGCACACCCGGTAGGGTCTCCGTGGTGCTGGGGGGCTTTCTACCTCAGGCAGACCCCTGAGCTCCAGGTAGGAGGTAGGACCCAGGTGTGTGCTGGAGAGGGGGGCGCAGACCCTGCTCTGTCCACAGGGCAGGGGAGTGTGAGTCAGATTCTCTGAGCTCCAGGGGAGTGGGGTGTGGAATGGACGACCCGCGGGATCCCGATTCAATGATGTAACAGGGAGTCCCGATGTCCAGTGCGGCTCTGAGCTCCAGGGGAAGGGGCTTCTGTGCAGACGTCGAGCGTGCTCCCCTGGGCTCTCCAGGGGTTTGCAGGCCTCTGAGATCCCCTGCTCCTGTCCCAAACTGGTCACGTCCAGGGACAACCTGGGCCAAGTTCGTGGTGGTGACTCTGCGCGTAGATCCCCTGCATGAATTCAGGCCTGTGGGCTCCTGGAGACTTGGAAAGGGCATGCACAGTTGATTTGCCTGTTCCTCCAGCACTTGGAAACCCTGCAGATGCCCATGAGAAGGGGCCAGGCTCGCCCCATGGAGGCCAAACACTAGGAGCCTCTCCCGGTCAGTGCACCCACAATGAACACCCTTTTTCTGTGGGAAGTTTGCATCAGACCCACAACCCAGGTGGTCCACATACTCAAGGACACAGCCAGGACCCCTGTGAAGAGCCACAGAAAGTGTTGGATGGGTCATTTCCCCAGGAGAGAAGGAGGAACTAATCTAGAAAGAGGGGACATTGAAAAGTGAGCCTGGGGGCTCAGAGCCTCTGTGGGCCAGTGTCTGGGATGGGACTGCGCCCCTCCTTCTTTCTCTTGGGTGTGAATCTCGTGGGGATCATGTCCTTATCTCACCTGCACAGGTGGGCTCCACAGGGTGAGAAAATTGCAGTTTTGGTTCTCAAGCCTCAGAAAGGAAAGAGCTGCACTTAACAAGTGCAGTTTAGGAGACACATCTGCTTCCTGGCCCCGTTAAAATAGCTCCAGACTTCTGACGTCAGCTCGGTGCTTGCATGACAAGGGAGTCACCGCGTGTCTTACCCTGGGGTGACCACAAGCTGGACAGTGCCTGGGAGAGGAGTGCTGAGGTCCTTTAGTAGTTGTAGGTCTCAGAGTCTTCTAATTAGTTACTGTTTTCAATTGTTTCTCCCCTGTTGACTTGGGCTTCCCTAAGCTCTTCTCCTCAGAGACTTGAGTATTTGCAACTTTCAGATTTAATCCACTCTCATTTTACTGGTTTGGTGGTAAAGAGTGGGGAATGAGAATATTATGTATTTTTTATAAGTGCGAATATGTGGCATTTCTCCTTTTGTGTCTGGCTTATTTTACTCCACTTCATTTTCTCCAGGCTCATCTATGTTGCTGCAAATGGAAAAATGTCATTCCTCTTTATAGGTGAATAAAGCCCCAGCCACAGGTGACTAAGATTTCTCCCATCTCTACAGCCTCACCAGCTCTCGTTATTCTCAGTCTTTTTCATCATGGTCAGTCCAACTAGGGTGAGATGATAACCCAGTGTGGTGTTGATTTGCATGTCTTTGATGATTAGTGATGCTGAACGTTTTCTCATATACCTGCTGGCCCTTCCTATGTCTTCCATTGACAAATGTCTACTCATCCCCTATGCCTGCTTTTTAATTGGATTGTGTATTTATTTTTTTGTTTTTACTGTACTGTTTTTGATATCCTTATATCTTCTGGATGTTAATCCTTTGCCAG